AGTCGGCCGTAGGGAACGTGCCTGGTGTTGTCAGGGCCCCTCAGTGGGGGAGATGGTTCTCCTTCCTTTTGTTGGGAGTCGTAGGAGCCGCGGGTGAGGGCGGCGGGCCTACAGCTCCGGACGCGACCCCCCCCCATCCGGAGGGAACTGGCCGCCGCTTGAACCTTTTAAGGGCCTTTAGGTCCCGCGTGCACTGCTTTTCTTTTGGATGCTAGGAGTTTATATCGCAGAACTTAAGTAATTCAGGGTTTTTCTCTTTTGAAATTGAAGTTCTAATATACAAGAAATAAGTGTATGTTATAGGAAAGGCATACATTTATTTAACAACTATTTACTGCCTGTCATGTGCTAGGGTTGCTCATGGCAGTAAATAAGTCTGTGGCGTGGAGTTTACAGTCTGGCGAAGGGCGGCGGCGTACACCGCCTGATATGTGGGTGTCCAGGGTAGGCCACTGCAGAATAAGCTGCTTTGGCATGTTATTTTGAGGTGTAGGCACTTGCAAAACAGCAAACGCATGGACAGACTTTCTCTGAGATCCCCCTCCCCCCTTATCTGCCTAAAGACATCTTCCAAAGGGAATTCGTGTGTCATAAACCCCAGTCCAGAAGTGTTCACCACATCCGGTCAAACTTACAAATCATCCTGTCTCCCATCAACTCACCTTTCCCACAAGGCCGCTTACCCCTAGGAGGCCTACATCGCATCCCCTCTTTCCTATTTTTTTTTTTCTTTTTACATTGATTTTTTAGAGAGAGTGGAAGGGATGGAGGGAGGGGAGGGGGAGAGAGAGGAAACCATCGGTGTGGGGGAGAGACACCCTGCTGGGGTTGGGGATCAAGCCTGCCACCCAGATATGTGACTGGACTCAAACCCGAAACCCTTCAGCCCATGGGCCAACGCTCTAACCACTGAGCAAACCGGCCAGGGCCCCTCCTCTTTCCTATTAAGGTGGTATTTAAGTCTGAATTCTAAGCAATCTCATGGAATTACTAATTTTTCCTTAAGTCTCTCCAAGGTGCATATGAAGTATACATGTTAATAAATATATCTGTTTTTCTCTTGTTAATCTGTCTTTTCTTACAGGGGACTCAGCCAAGAACTCAGAGGGGTAGAGGGAAAGCTATCTTTCACCCTCTAGAGGAGTTAGGAAGGCTTTTGTGGGAACTGTGTGAGCAGAGACCGGAAAGAAGAAAGGAAATGCACGGCAGGTAGAGAGAACAGGACGTGCGTGTTTGGAGTGTTCTTGGCTCAGCAGGGATGCCAAGAACGAAGCCCTGTGAATGAGGGGAAGGGGGTGGTAGGGGAGAAAGATGAAAGAGGAAGCCAGGGGCAATGGTAAGAATGTGGGATTTTATTTTTATTGTGCTAAAATAGTCATAACATTTATCTTTTTATCCATTTTCAAGTGTACAATTCACTGGCATTAAGTGCATCACACTGTTGTGCAACCAATGCTGCTACCCACCCATCCATCATCCATCTTCACCGAGTGAAACTCTGTACCCTTTAAACAACTCCCCATTCCCTCTTCCCTCCAGCCCCTAGTAACCACTGTTGTATTTTTCTCTATGAATTTGATGATGCTGGGTATCTCAGAAATGGAATCGTACAGTGCTTGTCCTTTTGTAACTGGTTTATTTCACTTTGCATAATGCCCCCTAGGTTCATCCATGTTGTAGCAGGTGCCAGAATTTCCTTTTATTTAAAGGCTAAGTAATATGCCATTGTATGAATAGCTCACATTCATCTGTTAATGAAAACTTGGTTGTGACTCACCCTG